CCATTTCCTACACTTTTAATAATATTTAGCACACAATTTTTCACCTGGATTTATGATTGCACTTATTTCTTAGATATTCTATCTCATTCTGTATATTGCAATCTTTATAACTGCATGCTTCAGAAATATACAGGTGTTTTTATAATTTATTTGGAATTATATTTGGTTCATCTGTTAAGCTCACCAAACAGCATGTGAACACAGCTAAGCTGTATATATTTGAAAGAATAATTCCAGGTGATCTAATCACTTCAAAAGGAAAAATTTCTGGTGTATATTTGAAATGTCTTTTCAGGCTGCCCCGCATTTTTTTTATGCAATATTTTAGAACTACCCTTTCTACACAATATACCTTTGGTTTCAAGGGACTCCAGACAGTAAAGTTATGTCACACAGTAGAAATGGTAAAAACAAAAACATATTTAAGAGAGGTCTTCCTCACCATCTGTGTGCATAGATCCCAAGCTTCCATTGTTATAATATCACATAGGAAAAAATGCAGAGGGAATTTCTAAAAAACACCCATGCTACATGAAAGGTAACAATTGCAATTTTTTTAAAATGTGGTTTTCAATTTGCACATCAACTAGGAAAGCTACCGCTCTGTAAGTGAATGCTGTCAGTTGCTGTTCCACATAGTGATTTTTTAATTTCATAAATACGTCATCAGAATCCTCAAAACTCATTATATGCATTACCCCTACTAACTTAGAATTTACTTGGTAATGCTTGGCTGCTGTAGTTTTAATTCTGCTGTATACAGATAAAGTAGATATGTTCTTCCCACTTATTTGAACATGAATTTACTTTTCCTGCTTAATTTGTAAATCTGAGCAGTGTTTCCACTGCTTTCTTTTATCTTCAGAATTTCCTTGCTATGTGCAAATAGGAAGACAGGAGATGTAGTAATGAAACTGCTCCTTGACTTTTGGCTGGAAGGAGTTGTCTTTTATTTTGAGCATCCTTTCCTTTATCTCCTTCAAGAACAAACAAGAAGAACTCTACCCTGAATCACCATCTTTTCTAAGGGAGAGACATTACGTCCTAGTAGTTATTCCAAGTTTATTTTTAAAGGTTCAATCCTACTATTCTGAAACTGAGAATACTAAAAAAATAACTAAGTCTAGACTAGTAAGAGATCTACTGCTTCCTGGGAGCTACCAGACATCCTATCTCAAGCCAGGCTAGCTCAGACCCATGTAGCCTGAACTCAAGCTCAGAAAGAAAAGAACTGACTGCTTCAAGACCAACTTTGCAGTACCATTTTTGTTCTAATTATTAGGCAATGCTAATTCAGGGAGAAAGGCTCAATTTCACCCTATGATTCTTCTGTACACTCTGTAGTATGGGAAGCCTAATAGAGTTTAGAGCTAAGCTAAGCTTTATCCTTTTAAAGTCACTGGAGACCTACCAGACAAACGGTGTTGAGGGAAATTCAAATGTAACTGGCAAGGTCTAAGTCTTTATGGAGTGGAATCTATAAAATATCAGGGCAGGTGTACGAGCTTGTAAATAAATATAACGCCCCAACCCTTTGGGAAAAAACACTGCACACCAAGTATTATGAATTTCTTTATTGTTCTGTTACATCATATGATTTTTTTTATTGGACTAAGTCAGGTTTATAGTGTTTGTTAATAAAAAGATCTGGCTAGAATTGTCTTTCTGATTTAAGTAAACAGCATTTGATTTTTATACTGACTTTATGAGACTTCTGCGAGCTCTGGTGTTGCTGATATAGTGAGGATGTATGGCCACTTAAAATCAGATTGTAGATATCATGTGACAAAGTAATTTTTCTATCAACACAATCTCAGGGAAGTTTATTTTGTTCTGCAAAAAATGAGGCACAGCTTACAAAACAAGGCAAAAGTCCAGTGAATGAAGATGGGATCAATTCCAGCTTTTCTTTTGTATGGAATAAAGAAATGAACATAAGCAAGAAAGATCTTAGAGAAATCTTGCTTAAAACAATCATCCTTTGATAGAGTAACACAGTAATTATGGGCTAATTGTCATTGTGATTGAACAATAGAGTAACGCAATGACCCTCCTAAATATCTGTTCCTAGGTTGTTCCTTGTTGAATTTCTAAGAATCTTCATGACCTTTTATTGAGGCTCACACTTTGCCTCATTCATTTTTGTGCTACCCAAAGGTCTTTGATTATCCATAGTGTTTATATTTAATCCAAGAATTTTTATATGTGTATGCACACGTTCTTATTTATACATAAAATTTACTCTAAGGATTAAGTCCAGTGACATTTAACTATTAGGCTCAGATCAAGCGACATGCAAGATTAAAATCAAATGAAGGTAGGCAGTGTAACTACATTGGAAGAGTAGCCCTGACAGCTCTCTTAATAACTTTTTTATTTTAAAATGGTCATTCTTAGCATCTATGGTTTCCACTGTTAGAGAAAGGACACACAGGACTAATTTTGTTGAAAATTAGGTAATGCTTAAGGCAGTATGAAAGTGCGAATCTCAGATTCTCTAGAGCTCAGGTGCAGGTTTTGTGCATTCATATATTGAGACAGCTCTGTAACCTCACAGGGATGTCCAGAAAAGCCTTTTCTGTAACAAGTTTCCATGACACATATAATCAATAGCTGCCATATGTGCTATGTGATCTTTCCCCTTCCTCTTATAAGCAGGGTTCCAAACCCAAAATTCTGTGGGAGATTTTAGGTTTTGTTTAAATCTCAGACTGGATGACAAACTCTCCTCATCTCAGAAAAACACCAGTGTCTTAACTAATTAGAATGGGTTAGGGATACTCTTTCCTGCTGTTTAACAATGTGAACACTTTGAAGCAAAGTATCCATCTTCCATCTAAACAAATGAAGGAATGTCACTTGGTAAAGTCATTTACTTTAATATTCATCCAAAGTCACTGGATAAAAATACAACAATCTAAGAAGCAGCAACAACAATCAGTGACTCATAGCTGTTCTCCTTGTTCACTCTGTTTGTGGGAGAAGTTGGAAAGGCATTTTCTGGGATAGCACTCCCAGCTGTAAAACCCAGTGTCCTGGGTTCATCTGTAACACTTATTTTTCTTCTTCCTAGTAGCTGGCGCAGTGCTGTGTTTTGACTGCAGTCTGAGAACAGTGCTGATAACACACCAATGTTTTAGTTGTTGCTAAGTAATGCTTACCCTGATCAAGGACTTTTCCATCACTCGTGTTCTGCCAGTGAGGAGAGGCACAAGAAGCCAGGAGGGCAGAAGAAGCAGAGGCAGGATACCTCACCCAAACTAGCCAAAGCGGTATTCCATACCACAGCACCTCATTCCCAGTATGTAAACTAGGGAGAGTTACCGAGAACATCAGATCACTCCTAGTGTCAGGCTGGGTTTTGGACAGCAGGTGGTGAGCAATTGTATTGTGCATCACTCATGTTTATTACTCCTTTCCCCTTTTAATTTTATATTCTGTCTCCCTGTTATTTCCCTTATCATTATAATTATTAGTGTCAGTAGCAATAGTTTTATGTTATGTTTTCTATTATATTTTAGTTGTTGGACTGTTCTTATCTCAACCAGTGGGATTTACATTCTTTCAGTTTTCCTTCCCACCCTGCCATGAGGCAGGGGTAGGGGAGGAGTGAAGAAATGGCTACGTGGTGCTGAATTACCAGCTGGGTTTAAACCACGACGCCCAGTTTAACACACTTAACTCCTGCTTCTACTCCCTTGGCGATTTATGCATTTTAAATTCAATATTTAAAAGATATACTTGCTCCTCTTCAATAACTCTAGGACAAATAGAACTGAAGTTTCTCACTTTGTCTTCACCGAATAAGTATATGCAATGAGTTACAAAATCATATTTTATTTAGCCCTGTGGCTCAAATATTCCTGCCTATAGAGCTTCAGTGAGATAGGTGAGGGATGTTGCTTCCCCTCTCTTGCTCCAGTGGCTAGGGCTTGTTCCTGGGATGTAAGGATTATGGCTTCATATTTCTCAGGTAGACACTGACATCCTGTCTCCTTCCTGCATATGAAGCTATTACAGAAAAGGATACCTTCATCTTCCAGCAGTGTTTTATGAAAAAAAACAAGAGCGTATTGGTCAGATGTCTGATGTAAGTGGCTATGTACAGGAGTAGTTTTTGCTGTGAACATCTCTCTCCTAGTGATATTTGTCTCACAGAGCTTCTAAAGCCTTTCCTCGGCTCTCCCCTCCTCTCCTGTCTTATTCTGTCTCCACAGTTGTCTTGTGCATGTGAACTGTTGCTGTAGTTGTGAACTCGGGTCAGATGTGACCAGGTTCCCCATGTTTCCCTGCTGGGACAGAGGTACTCCATTCACCATCTCTGCTGCTGGCATGCTTGGCTTTGGGCATTATAGCCCTGTGCACTAGAAATGTTCTCGTCCTTTTGCTGGGGCTGAGCTCAGGCTCCTAGCTCGTGGTTGTGGTTTCAACAAGTTGACAAAACTCCTTAAGAAAAGGGATATTTAGCATTGCAAGTCATGAAGACTTTTGCGGCTTGAGCTCTTAAGTTATTCTCCATTCATCCTTCAGAGATGTCTTTGGCAGAAGAGGGTTGCTGACTTTTGTAGTAACTGGTAAAATTAAAAATTCTGAAACTCTTGAAATCGAGCCCAGGGATTAATAACGTCGTTGCTGTTTCTGTGCCACAGTAGAGACCAGCTACCCAAATACTCAGTTACCCCGTCAATGTATTACAGATCTCTTGACACTTCATTCTCTTTTCAGTCTCTTGACTCCCTCCACTTTGCTGCATTTTCTGTTGCAGATTTCTTGTGCTCAGTTCTGCTCTGTGGCAGGGACAATGTGTTACTATGGATACATCAAAAACCACAGAATGTTCCCATTTTACACCTGAGACAAAGAGATTGAGCCAAAATGCAAAACATTTCTGCATTTTCTGAGTGCACTTCATGCAAGGCAAACCTGATGTGGAAAGAGATCTGGATATTTTATTTTTCTTTTTGCCAACACTGATTGTTTGTTTTCTCTTGCTCTTTCAGGCTTTATTTAAAAGGCCACAGTGGAACAGCTGGAAAACAGAGTAGCCTGATTTTACATGGTGCTGAATTCAGTACAAAAGATGCTGACAATGACAACTGCATGTGCAAATGTGCTCTCATGTTGACTGGAGGTGAGTACAACTCTGAAAATATGTGATACATTGATAGGAATCTACTCTGTTTTCCTAAAGTAACCATGGATGAAGCTGCCCTTACAGATGTACAAGTACTGTGTGAAAATTCCTTTTATTATTATTATTACTTCTACTCTTTTCTGTATATGCATTGTGGTAGTGCCAATACCTCAAGATTCCTATCAGCAGGGAAGGGATTACTCAGAGATGCAGTCAGTATACTTTTGCACTGAACAATTTTGAGTGAGAAAGTATAAGTTATTGTTGAAGTAAGAAAGGCAAAGAGAGAAGTTAAGAGATGAAGAAGAGGGAAGAAACTTTGTGAGAAATAGGAGAATTAGCGAGAAAAAGAAGAAGAGCACAGGGAAATGGGCATTAGAAAGTAAAGTTTAAAAACAATCAGAATCTGGATTTGAAATATATTATCTACCTCATTCAGGGATGTGATTCTGTTATTGGAATAATTATAAAGAGTCAGCTTTCTGTCTTATATGTGTGTAATACATACGTTTATATAAACCTAATTAATGCAATGGCCAAATAACTCGCCTGTGAAATACTGGACCTGCAACACCCTGTTCAAATTGTGGCACATAGCTGTTCTGCAAGATTTAAGACAGCATCCTTAGTGAGATCAGTCAAACTGTGAAAGGAAAGAAAGAAAAGTTGAGGTAGGGAAAACTCAGAGAAGTTATACTGAGACAGTTTAAAGCGCCAAGTCATGTATAGCGTATATGACTGATGTTTGTTCCCAGCAGTGCAGAGGAAGAATATCTGAGATGGTCACACCATACAGACACCTAAAGCTCTGCAAAAGAGTGAGAACTTTCCCTGGAAAATTATGCTTATTCCTAATCCCTATGTGGGTAAACTCATTTTTTGTCTCCAGGACACTGCATTAAAGCAGAAAGATTAAATAGGGATTCTTTGGTTCATTAACTATATGGCAGAAAAGGCCCTTATTTTCACATTTGACCTCCTTCAGAGACTCTCCCTCAGTGATTTTTATCTTTTGTGTTAAAAAAAACATATAGCATGCAAATTATTCAGTATTTTGGATCAGGCTGCTGACCTGGTATTATGTGGTTACTGGCACTCAGACTTAATTCATCTCAGGCCACACTGAGGAATATATAAGCCTCTAAAGCTATCACCTGCTAACAGAAGGCAGGTTCCCATCACTGGGAATTTATATCAAATCAGAACCTATCTCCTCATTCTCTTTTGCCAATTGGAAATGACCCAGTTGGGAAAGTCTTCAAAGAGTCAATTTTTCAAACTTTCCTAACTTTCTTTACTAATGTCTTATTAAATGTCAGCATGGCAAACTTCTTCCAGTAGACAGGTGATCAGATGTTACCTTTCCATTTCTATAAAATAAAAGAAGCTGACCAGATAGTTCTAGAGGCAGATAATGGATAAAAACTCAGTGTTTATTTTAATTAAGATTGTTGACCTTTCCTTTTAGATATCATGCTAAATTAAAGTATCTTACTTCCAGGGCAGGCCAGAGTCTAGTGAGAAGCTCCTAAATGTGAGTTGTGTCTGTGCTGAAGTGTAGACTCATTCACGTACTTGAGCTGCCTGGAAATACCTCTGCTCCCAAACGGCTAATTCTGGGAGCTGAGGGTTTTGTTTATTTTCCTGCCCTGACTTCTGTGGCAGGTCAACGCCCCACTAAGGTCAACCTGCTGTTGAACAACCATTCCACAAGGTTCACATATATTTTGCAGCAGCAGTCCTGTAAATCAACAGGAAAACCACATATTGGAACGTACTGGTAGCAAATTAAAGGAATATGGAGGAAGGGAGAGAATTATCAAAGGCTGAGGAAACCACAAATAGAAGAAAACACTGCAGAGTGAAAGGAGATTGAGCTAGCTTTTGGGGATAGATGAGTCTAGTCTTTTGGACTAGATTCAGAGTACCAAATCTTCTGGAGATAGGCTGTACAGCGCTGAGTAATATGTAGTTCAAGAAAAAAACTTTAATCATGCTAGAATCCTCCCCCAACACTTCGCTATATGCTTTGCTTCTTGAAATGACTTCCTTATTCCTTGAAAAATATCAGATATTTAACTAAATATCAAAACATTTGTTTAGCGAGTAGATTTCAGTTTTGTTCCACAGACAATGACTAATTAAGAAAAGTAGCAATGATAACAGATTTTGGAAAACCTCTTTTTTTCCAAACGATATCAGACTCTGTTAGTTTTGGCAACATCACAGAGAGCTTTTAATGATGAATGATATGAAATCTACAGGCAGGTTTCAAGATATCTTGACAGTTTGGGTGAGCATGTTATCTCAATGAGGTGAACTGAATATATTTATGTCAGGAATAACGGATGAGATAAGCTGAAGCTCAAGACTGTGATATGGTTCTAGTCAAGGCTGAAAATAAAAATGTAAGTAAAACACACATTTCTCTCAGTGATCTTGCTAGTTGTCAGTTTTATTTGGTCTATATCAAAACTATTATCCTCTTTTCTCCTTTCTTTCCTCCTAACCCCTCCCCCCTGACAAGCACACTCCCCAGAATAAGAAATAAATAAACACTGGGAAAATGAAACAGAAACAGCAATAGAATTGTGCATGTGTTTCTTGTGCTTTCAAGAACCATGCTCCTTGACTTTATCTTAATGCAGTTTTAAGTAAATGACTTCAAAAGTACATGAGTGAGCTGGGTTCTTAGCCCCTGTGAACTACACATGGCAGTTAAATGATTTATCTGCTTTTTTGTACCTTGAAAAATTTAAAGTAAGCATGCTAGGTTTACTTTAAAGGGAGGCAAAATGTATTTATTCAAGTAATTATTTAAGCTTAATATTTGCCAAAACACTAAAAAACCTCAGTTCTATCATAAAAATATCTTTTAAAAACTAGTACAATATCTCAGCCCAGTAAACTAATGAAGATGTTGTATCCTCATAGCATTATTTTTGAGAGTACTCCAGTGAATTACATACGCAGCTTTTTTGCAAGGAATAGCACTTACAGTGTAACAGACTGTCACTGGAATGAAACATTGAGTAGATGTCCAAAGTGCTTCAGATAGATTTCCAAAAGTAGAACATTTAACGTCTCTGCATCACATTCGTGGGCACAAGGCCAAGTTAGAGCATCTTGCCAGGATACCACCTGTCAGCTGAGCACCAGAAGTTGTTTGTGCAATTGTTTTCAGTCACTGGAAAGTGACTTATGGTAACTTGGCCCATAGTAAAAGAGCCTTAAGGTGATTTGTTTTGTCTTGTATTGGTTGAAGTCAAGGTATTTACCTGGTTTCCAGTCACAAATTGGAATGTTTCTAAACCTCTGATCCCTGAAATACTTTGACAAAGTGACAGGCAGTCTTTCTATATGTCTTTCTAGGGCTGAAGCAGCATAGAATTACTGAAATAACGTCTTTTATTTTACTGGAAGAAGAGGTCCACCCAGCTCCAGTCTCCTGCCTCTGACAGCAGTCAGCAGCAGATGCCTTAGTTTGGGCTCAAGAACAATACAAATAAGTGATACTTCCTTGGAGTATTTTCCCAGTATCTTTTGCATCTCCGGGGCTTCCCAAATTTGAGACAGTTCTCATATATTTGTTAATCCTCAATGGATTTCTCATCTATTAAGCGAGAGTGCTCAATGACAAACCCAACCGGTGGTGCACTAATTACTTATTGTTTCACTGCTTTTTTCTCCAAGTGGTGCACTTTATGAATCTCTGGCAAGAATGGTATGGAGAATTCTGGTCATGGCTTGGAGGGAATTTTTTGGCTGAATATAGAAATCTGTCCATACATAATCCAATTAGAAAAAGCCACACTTTTTTTTATATTTTGTTTGAAACCAAAACTTCTAAAGTATCAACCTCAGCACACTTAAAGGTATCCAGCTTGAACCCCTGTATATACATATACTTACATAGGCAAACATCAATTTTTAGGCTTAATGTATATTGTTGCTTCCATAACAAAGTTACTTTGAAAATACCATTCATGAAGTATCATTTATGTTATCTAACATTTTAAATAGAGAAATATAACCACCATACAGATTAGAAGTGAACAGAAATAAGTTTATAGGACTATGTTATCCAGTTGAATGAAAAGTCAATGCCTTTTCATCCTATGTCCTCCCAGCTAAATTCTGGTTTAATCTTCAGAATGTCAAGTACTAATTGCTAAATAACAGTCTGGTCAATCCAATACTCTTAACGAATAAAAGAACATAGGCCTGGAAATGGATTCCAGAGGTCATTTAGTCCCTCTCTAAGACAGACTCTTCTCTACCTATTTATTTGTCTTTCTGTTCATCTTCAAGATTTCTAGTGATAGAAACTCATTCCCATAATATAATCTGTTACTGAGTTTGGCTATACTTTATATAAGAAAACTTTGTTGGCTAAACTAATTCTCTGACAATTTACTTGTGTTCCATCTTGTCCTATCCTGCCTCACTGGAAAGAATAGACCATTATTTTGAAAAGCTGCTTATTTTTTTCAGCAGTGTTTTTTATGAATTTGAGACTGCTGGCAATCTGTCTTTTGAATTCTGGACTAAACAACCCTAAATCTTTCCTCCTATATTTTGGATATTTTCCTCCTATTTTGGACTCTATCCAGTGGCTTCACATATAGCTAGAGGTGTCATCCAAAACTACACCCAGTCTTCTAGCTGAGAAGTTACCAATGAAAAGTTGAAGTATAACCATCTAACTTCTTAAAAGTACATTTCCACTTCTTGAAATGTTACATAAAATAAATTATTATGTCTTCTGAAAAATGAAGACTGTTTCAATATTTTTGCATTAGAAAGTGTTCTTATTGGCTGTGGTGCCAAATGCACTAAATTTTAAGGACAAACCCAGAGGGTTAGAAATAAATCTGGCTATTCATAGGATCCATTTATCTCATAAACCCAAGCAAATGTACCATTGAAGCATACTCTGGATCTTATTGAATGTTTTATATTGATCTCACTGCATTTAGAGTGTACTGAGAAGAGAG